AAAGAGGAAAAAAAAAACACAACAAACAAAGATTACAGATAGAAAAAGATTACAGATGCAAATATTCTTTGATCTAGCAACCCCAGTTCTAGGATTTATTATTCAGATATACTTCCACATGATACTAAATTATGAATCCATGAGGTTATTTATTGTTGCATTCTTGTAATAACGAAAGATTGGAAGTAACTCAAATGTCCATAAATAAATTTGGTACAGACAATCTAATCTTATATGGTTCTAAAAAAAAAAAAAAAAAAAAAAAAAACAGAAGAAGATTTCAATGTCCTCCCAAGTAGCAAGGATTATAGGCATGAGCCACCATGCCAGGATAATTGTTTTGTATTTTCAGTACATATGGGGTTTTGCCATATTATCCAGGCTAGTCTCAGAACTCCTGGCCTCAAGTAATCCACCCAGCTCAGCCTCCCAAAATGCTAGGATTTCAGGGGTTAGCCACTGTGCCCAGCCTGCTAAGGAAAGGTTTTATATTAGCTAGGATTTTCCAGGGAAACAGAACTAGGAAAGGGGGAGGATAGGAAAGACTAACATATTATAAGGGATTGACTCACACAATTATGGAGTCTCACCAGTCCCAAGAGCGACAGGGTGAGCTGGCAAGCTGGAGACCCAGGAGAATCAATGGTTTAGTTCCAGTCTGAGTCCAAAGGCCTGAGAACCAGGAAGGTCAATGGTGCAGCTCCAGCCCAAAGGCCAGAAGATTTGAGACCCAGGAAGAATTGATGTTTTAGTTTGAGCCCAAAGGCAAGAAAAATGATGTTCCAGTTCAAAGGCCACCAGCCAATAAAAATTCTCTTTTATTTGGGGAGGGCCAGCCTCTATTTAGGTCTTCAACTGACTGGATGTGGCCCACTCACATTAGGGAAAGAAATCTATTTTGCTTATATGTTGATTTATTTCTTTTTTCCTTTGGTTTTTTGAGATAGAAAAAAACTATTGCCCAGGCTGGAGTGCAGTGCTGCAATCTCCACTCACTGCAACCTCCACCTCCTGGGTTCAAGCAATTCTGCCTCAACCTCCTCAGTAGCTGGGATTACAGGCATGGGCCACCACGCCCACTAATTTTTTTTCTTTTTTTTTTTTTTTTGAGACAGTGTCTTGCTCTGTTGCCCAGGCTGGAATGCAGTGGCATGATCTTGGCTCACTGAAACCTCCGCCTCCCGGGTTCAGGCGATTCTCCTGTCTCAGCCTCCCGAGTAGATGGGATTACAGGCATGCTATCATGCCCAGCTAATTTTTGTATTTTTAGCAGAGATGGGAGTTTCACAATGTTGGCCAGGCTAGACTTGAACTCCTGACTTCAGGTGATCTGCCCACCTCGGCCTCCCAAAGTGCTAGGATTACAGGCGTGAGCCACCGCACCGTGTTGTTATTTATTTATTTTTGAGGCAGAGTCTCACTGTCACCAGGCTGGAGTGCAGTTGCATCTAGGCTCACTGCAACCTCTGCCTCCCAGGTTCAAACGATCTCCTGCCTCAGCCTCCCAAGTAGCTGGGACTACGGGCTCCTGCCACCACACCCAGCTAATTTTTGTATTTTTAGCAGAGACTGGGTTTTGCCATGTTGGCCAGGCTGGTGTCAAACTCCTGCCTCAAGCGATCCACCTGCCGCAGCCTCCCAAAGTGTTGGAAATACAGGCGTGAGCCACCATGCCCAGCCTCATCTGCTGATTTAAATGTTAACCTTAGCCAGGCACGGTGACTCATGCCTGTATTCCCAGCACTTTGGGAGGCCGAAGCGGGCAGATCACTTGAGCCCAGGTGTTCAAGACCTCCCTGACCAACATAGCGAAACCCATCTCTACCAAATATATAAAAAATTAGTTGAGCGTGGTGGCACACGCCTGTAGTCCCAGCTACTAAGGAGGCTGAGGCAAGAGAATCACTTGAACCCAGGAGGCAGAGATTGTAGTGAGGCTAGATGGTGCAACTGCACTCCAGCCTGAGCGACAGCGAGACTCCATCTCAAAAATAAGAGTAAGACAAATATGCACGTTTGCTTATAGTCACATAAAGTCATTCTGGAAGGATACATAAAAACTAAAAATAGCGGTTCCCTATAAGAGATGTCCTGGGAACAGGAAGACTTTTCACTTTTTATGTGTATGGTTTTTAAAAATCAGATATATGTTTTATCTATCCACAACATTAAGTAACAAAGTTTAAATCCCCTTGCATGCCTTCCTCGCCTGTAGGGTTGTGAACACTGGAGAAAATAAATCATGTTTTACACTCACTTTTGTATTCCTGGTATTTAGTATATATTCAATAAATATTAGAGAAATGAATGAATGAAAGAACCAGAAAATATCAGATTTAGTGTCAGTTAGAGAGAGGAGAGGAGCCAGGCACAATAGCTCACACCTATAATCCCAGCACTTTGGGAGGCCGAGGCAGGAGGCTCTCTTGAACTTAGGAGTTGGAGACCAGCCTGGGTAATAAAGTGAGACCCTGTCACTACAAAAAAATATATTAGCTGGACATAGTGACATGCACCTGTCATCCCACCTATTCAGGAGGCTGAGGCGGGAAGATTGCTTGAACCTGGGAGGTCGAGGCTGCAGTGAGCCATGATTGTGCCACTCCACTCTAGCCTGGGAGAGAGAGTAAGACCCCGTCTCTAAAAAAGAAGGGAGTTATGGCTGGGCGCAGTGGCTCACGCCTGTAATCCCAGCACTTTGGGAGGCTGAAGCAGGTGGATCACAAGGTAAGGAGTCAAGACAACTGGCCCATATGGTGAAACTCTGTCTCTACTAAAAATACAAAAATTAGCTGGGCGTGGTGGCAAACAGCTGCAGTCCCAGCTACTCGGGAGGCTGAGGCAGGAGAATTGCTTGAACCTGGGAGGCAGAGGTTGCAGTTAGCCGAGATCGCGCCATTGCACCCCAGCCTGGTCGACAGAGTGAGACTCTATCTCAAAAAAATTTAAAAAAATTAAAAAAAAAAAAAAGAAGCAAGTCACTAAGTCCGGCCTACATTCAAGGAACAGGGTACACATGGGGTGATGACCAGGAGGCAGGGATCACTGGGAGCCATGTCTGCCACAAGGAGGAAAAAGCATGAAAGGATGAAGTCGGGATGGTGGTTACCTCTGAGTGAAAGCGAGGGGAAGAGATGTAGGAAGCATATGGCAGGTGTACGTTATTTGTAATAATTTCATTCTTGGGGCAGGTGGTGGGTTTATAGGTGTTCATAAGTGAGTTGATTATGGACAAATGGGAGAGAGTGTCATGAACCAAGGATTATATTTAGTACAATTCAATACTATTTAAAATATCCAATAATAAATGAAATAAAAATTGCTAACTACTCCTGGCCTTGCTCTGAGCCCCATCCATGCACTCCACCTGGTCGTAGGTTAGCACTAGCTCCACCTGACCCTCCACTTGCCCCAAACTAACCATTAGCCCTTCACACACACTGACCCTTACTCCAGCACCACGATCTCTCCATAATCTGCAATAGGCCCAGCTACTCAGGAGGCTGAGGCAGGAGAATCTCTTGAACCCAGGAGGCAGAAGTTGCAGTGAGCTGAGATCATGCTACTGCACTCCAGCCTGGACAACAGAGCAAGACTCTCTCAAACAAAACAAAACAAAAAGAGTGTTGCTATGAATGTTGCTGTAAAATGTCTCCCAGAACACAGAACACAAGAGCCTAGGTTTCCCAGTAAAGCGTGGGAGTAAAGCTTGGCCTCAGTCCATTGAAGTTGGGGTCAGTCCGTGGGTAGGGTTGGAGTTCTACAGAGAGCTGGGTTAGGGGTCAGTCCATGGGCAGGGTTAAGGGTGAGTGCATGACCACCTTTGGAAATATGCCTAGGAATGGAATTGTTGGATCTCAGGATGTTTTGTTTTCGTTTTGAGGCAGAATCTTGCTCTGTTGCCCAGGCTGGAGTGCAGTAGCACGATCTTGGCTCACTGCAACCTCTGCCTCCCTGCTTCAAGCAATTCTCCTGCCTCAGCTTCCCACGTAGCTGGGACTACAGGCATCCACCACCATGCCTGGCTAATTTTTTTTTTTTTTTTTTTTTTTTGAGATGGAGTCTCATTCTGTCACCCAGGCTGGAGTGCAGTGGCATGATCTCAGCTCACTGCAATCTCTGCCCCCTGGTTTCAAGCGATTCTTCTGCCTCAGCCTCCCGAGCAGCTGGGATTACAGACACCTGCCACCATGCCTGGCTAATTTTTGTATTTTTAGTAGAGACAGGGTTTCACCATCTTGGCCAGGCTGGTCATGAACTCCTGACCTTGTGATCCACCCGCCTCAGCCTCCCAAAGTGCTGGGATTACAGGTGTGAGCCACCGTGCCCAGATAATTTTTTGTATTTTTAACAGAGATGGGTTTTCACTATGCTGGCCAGGCTGGTCTTGAATTCCTGACCTCAAGTGACCTTCCCATCTTGACCTCCTAAAGTGCTGGGGTTACAGGCCTGACCCATCCTGGCTGGATCTCAGGATCTACAAATGTTCCACATTACTGATAGTCAGAATGCCATTAAAGCTGGGGTCACGCCATGGCTGTAGTGTGTTGGCCAGGATAGGGAGTAAAGCTTGGCCTCAGTCCACTGAAGTTGGGGTCAGTCCGTGGGTAGGGTTGGAGTTCTACAGAGGGCTGGGTTAGGGGTCAGTCCCTGGGCAGGGTGAAGGGTGAGTGCATGACCACCTTTGGAAAGAATCTAAAGCCTGGGTTTGGGGTTGGGTTTGGACAAGGCTGGAGAACACTGTGAGGGTGGGTTTTGGGGTCAATCTAAGGCCAGGGTTAGAAGTTAGACTGTCATTGTGCATAAAACCTGACCCCTAGTGATGTCATCAACCTAACAAGCCGTGACCACACAGGACCCAGCCACTCAAAAGATGAAACCCACTATGGGTCTAGAAAGCTCTTTCACTCGAGGCAGGAGTGGGGAGATGGAGGACAAGGGAAGCAGGGACTCCCCTCCCCTCAGAGATCTGTGCAGAAAGCGAAGGCAGGCACAGGAAATAGAACAAAACAGTAACTTTAATGGGGCAGCCCTGAGCCGTATCCTTCAAACCTTCCCTTCAGTAGCCTGTGCGCGAGGAGGGTGGGGTGACTGCTACAGGCAAGTCGATGTCCTCCCTACTCCTGGCGATCCCACTTCTCACCCCTTCCTCTCCAGCTGCTGCGGTCTCCGTCGCCGAGCTGGGTCCAGGTAAGCTCCCAGGAAGAGCAGGGGAGCCCCTTAGCGGCCCTTTGGTTGAGGGGAACTATCCTGGATGGAGACACCGCAGTCCTCGGAGCTGGGCAAGGACCTGATTCTGGGGGTGTGGACCGAGCCAGGGACTGCCCCCTAAGGCCCAGCGCCAGGAGCTGCAAGGCCGGCCCGAGGTGTTGGACACTACTTTGGGGGGCAGGCCAGGTCTCTGCACGGGGCTTTTGGGCTCTGGAAAGCAGTCCATTTTCCTGACCCGGATGGAGTGGGAGGAGGCGGCTCAGTCCCGGGCCTCGGCTCGTTCGGCTCCCTGTTCCACATTCTCCCACGCTCACCCATCCCAAGGAAGGAGGGCACTCGGGCCCCAAGAGGCTCGTGCGAGCAGCGGGCTCCACCCTCCCAAACGCCCCTCCGTTAGTGGGTGGGTCGGGCGCGGCATCGGAGCTCTGGAGGGTACGGGGCGTCCCCGCGCGGCCTGGGCCACAGCTCATCGCTGCTTACGCTCGGCCTGCTGGAGCCGCCGGGAGAGGTCTGCGATGCGCACGTTCTTGAGCTGGAGCAGGTGCTCCAGGCGCCTCACCTTCATCTGCAGGACCTAAACCGCGCCGCGCAGGGGTCAAGTCCGGCGGCCTGCTCCCTCCTGCTCGGCCTCTACTGGCCATGAGACCCTACCCGCAGCCTTCCTAGACCCCTCACCTGTACGGTCTCCTGCGAGGCCAATAGCTCCTGCTCCTTTTCGGCGATCTGGAGGACGAACCTTGGGTCGTCCTGCAACGCCTGGTTATACGCTGGAGGCCGACCCGCGGGCGGAGGGTCCCCTCTAGGGTGGGAAGCAGCTTAGCCAAGGCCTGGACCTCGGGCCCTACACTCACCCTTCCGGTGCCCTCGACCAGGCCATCCCTTCTCCCCGCTAGCCCATTTTCTGCCTCCCCATTGCCTCAGGCTCCGCCTGCCGCTGCTCTCCAACCCCAGCCTGTGTGCAGCTTGGTGAAGTCGGGAACCCCAGCTTCTTTACCTGAGCTGACCCCCTCCCTGGGGGTCCAGGGCACCTTCACCTCGGGCTTTCTGTGATAAACCTGAGACAAGGCAAATGGAGGAGTGACTGTGCTGGAGTCTCATTCTCCTGCTTCCCCCTCCCAGTTCCACTCTCACAAGCAACAGAAAGAAGAACAGAAGGAAAGCTCCACCAGGGAAGGAGAAATGGGAAAGGCCACCTTACCCACATCCATGTAGCCACTGCCATCCTGGGGAGCCAGCTCCTGAAAGAACCCCGCGGGTCCACTGTGAGCCCGGCCTCAGTCATCCCCAAGCAGCCCTCTGTCCTTTCCACAGGCCCCCAGACCAGGCTCTATTAGCCAAGCATCCCTCCCCCACACTTATCACCCAGGCACCCAGGCACCCAGGCCGGGCTTTCTAATGTCTGGGGAGCAATCCCCACCCAGCCCCCGGAGCAGTGAGAGAAGCTCAAGTGGGGTGGCACCTGTAAGGAGCCCACGCCCTGCTTCCTGTGCCTCTGCCGCTCCTCCAAGCGCTGCCTCAGCGGGATAAGCACCAGCTCCACCACTCCAGGGACACACTGAGCGATCTTGCGCATCATGTCATCTGGTACTGAAAAGTTCAGCTTGTTCAGTACCTTCCTGAGGGGTAGACACAGGGATAGTGGATTGGGTCCTGGGGAAATGAGGTGAGGGGTGGGGGAGAGGGAAGGGGGCATGGTGGTGGCAGTCCCGAGTTCACAGCCCTGGGAGAGTGGAAGGACATTGCATCTGAGCTTCCTTGTGTGGGTGTCCTGAGGTTCCTTCCTTGCCTCCTTCCGAATAGAAATCTCTTTTTTTTTTTTTTTTCGAGACAGAGTTTCACTCTTGTTGCCCAGGCTGAAGTGCAATGGCACAACCTCAGCTCACCACAACCTCCACCTCCCAGGTTCAAGCAATTCTTCTGCCTCAGCCTCCCAAGTAGCTGGGATTATAGGCATGTGCCACCATGCCTAGCTTATTTTGCATCTTTAGTAGAGATGGGGTTTCTCCATGTTGGTCAGGCTGGTCTCAAACTCCTGACCTCAGGTGATCCACCTGCCTCAGCCTCCCAAAATGCTGGGATTACATGTGTGAGCCAATGTGCCTGGCCAGAAGAGTCTCTTAATTGTGTAATCAGATGGGTTCTGTCTGTTTTAACCTCCCCCACTCTGCCACCAATACAATCTCAGCTTGGGCAACCAAGACCATAGGAGATGATGGGGCTGGGGTAGCCCTTCCTGGGAACCTAGGGTGGGGGCTAGATATTCCCAATCCTGCACCCAGGTATTCTGCTACCTGTTCAGATGACCCCAGTTGCTGAGCTTCTGCTGGATAGAGTTGGCAGGGACATAATTGTGCATCTCCACCATCTTGGGGAAGTAAAACTTGATGACCTCTGCAACTAGGACTGAGAGAGTGGGGAGCAGACATGGAAGGTGGGGGCATGGGTAAGGAAGGAGAAGGGGAAAGAAGGTGGGGGTGGGAGAATCAGGCATGGCAGAGTGGTGGAACCCAGTGTAGGGGTGGAGATGCAGAAAGGGGAAGAATGATAGGGAGGGGGACAAAGACATTGAGATTAGTGATAGGTAGAAGAGACTAAGTCTCCAGCATACCTCAGAGAAGCTGCATCCCTCCCCAATTAATTTAGGAATGGGAATACTGAGTCTCCACTCCTCTCGTTGAGAATGAATCAGCCAGGTATGGTGGCTCATGCCTGTAATCCCAATACTTTGGGAGGCCGAGGCAGGTGAATCACCTGAGACCAGGAGTTTGAGACCAGCCTGGCCAATATGGTGAAACCCTGTCTCTACTAAAAATACAAAAATTATCCAGGCATGGTGGTGCATATAATACCAGCTACTCAGGTGGCTGAGGCAGGAGAATTGCTTTAACCCTTTAACCTGGGAGGCAGAGGTTGCAGTAAGCTGAGATTGCACCACTGCACTCCAGCCTGGGTGATAAGAGCGAGACTCTGTCTCAAAAAAAAAAAAAAAAAAAGAGAGCGAGAATAAGTCTCCAAGAGAGGCTTTCAAGAGCCCAGGGAATTCACATGGATGCATGCTCTCGTGCATGCACACACACACACACACACACACACCCCAACACCAAAGTTCCAGGAGAGTCAAAGACTCACACAAGCAGAGACATGATAAGATCCCCTACACATAGAGACGTAGGGCAGAATGTGTAGACACATAGAACAAACACATGCTAGACACACATAGGCACACATGTAGAACACACATAAACAGAAGCACAAAAAGCCACATATGCACATAGCCTCCCCAAATATACACATACAGAGATGCATAGAAGTACTTGACATGAGAAGAAGACAGGGGAGTATTTCATCATTGAGACCCCAGGAGACATTCCTAGAAACACAAACACCTATACAATCACAAAGAAACACATGCACACAAGACCCCCCCAATACAGGACTAAACATGTCAACACACATATGAACACACACATGCTCAGACTCCCACAAGATGAACATAGAACACATAGCAATGAGTGAGGACATACAGAAATGCACAAATATATATGCAGACATATATCTTAGTCATTAACGTCCCTGGAGAGAGCTGCGGGCACAACCCCGCGCATGCACACAGGATAGAACATGTAGACATACATATGGACACACATTGTTCACACACAGATGCAAATAGAAAATACATAAGCACACACGTCTACAATTTGAAGTCTCGGGAGATAGATTCCTCCCCACCTCCGCACGCACACAAAAGAGTTTGCACAGAGACCCATTACACACGAACATACAGGACAGAACTTGCACACACACAGGGGCACACACCTCCATCACTAAAGTCCCTGGAGAGGTTTCGCTTGGGCCGGGACAGAGGGATGTTGTCTACCCACAGGTACAGCTGGTGCAGCGCCTCCTCATCCACGCTGCTCTCCATTGGCGTCCTCAAGGGCTGGCCGTCCAGTGGTGCCGCGTTCAGCCACAGCCTCTCGACCCTTCAAGCGCTTTCTCTCTCGCCACTGTAGGAACCCATAACTGCCTCTGCCTGCCTAATCCAGAGACTCACGTCCCAACTGGGAGCGGCCATATTGTTTTCTGAAACCATGGAAACCGCCCCCGACTCGCCTGGGAGCAAAGACTTCTGGGATTTGTAGTTTTATCCTCTCCCTGCTACCTCATCTCAGGCCCGAGCTTTGAAAAGGCGGTTAGCCTTCTCCTTCTCCCCAAGAAAGCATCACTTCTGTGCCCACGCCACCTGCTGACCAGCCACTGACCCGCTCTGGGACCAGCCAAAGCCAACGAGACCCCCAGAATTCCTGCATCGTCACGCCCTAGGGTGGGGTTTCCCCTTCTGGGCTGTCTCTAGCTGTCAGTCCAAGATAAAGGGAGCTCCCCAATGTTTGTCAGCTTTATCTGGAAGTCCATTGTTGATAATATGCCACCTAAATGGGTTGTGTGGTACAACTATTTCCTGCTTCGTCCCTCTCCAATGATCATGGGGCCACTGCCACTCACCATTCCCAGCAGTGTCCTGGTGCAGTATTTAATAGGTAACCCAGACTCCCATGGAGAACACCAGAGTTCAAGGCCAATACTTTGGGCAGGTCATTTAACTTCTTAACTCTATTTCCTCCTTTATGAAGTGACAATGGTTCTCACTTATTTGTCCTAACTGGGTAATGGGAAAGAGCTTCACAAATGGGAAAAATGTTAATAAAGAAAACCTGTTTGTATGGGAAATGGGGAAATGGAGTTGATTCTAGGTATAGAAGCAGCAAGAGCTCCTACAGACACTTCTGCACCCCTCATCTCCCTCCAAAGAGCTATTCTTCATGGATTAGAAATTCAGTCTGGGCGCGGTGGCTCATGCCTGTAATCCCAGAACTTTGGGAGGCCATGGCGGGTGGATCACCTGAGGTCAGGAGTTTGAGACCAGCCTGGCCAACATGGTGAAACCCCCTCTCTACCAAAAATACATAAAATTAGTTGGGCCTACTGGCAGTCTCCTGTAATCCCAGCTACTCAGGAGGCTGAGGCAAGAGAATTGCTTGAACCCAGGAGTCAGAGGTTGCAGTGAGCTGAGATCACACCATTGCACTCAAGTCTGGGTGACAGGGCAAGACTCCGTCTCAAAAAAAAAAAAAAAAAAAAAATTTCAGTACCCAGTTCCATTTCAAAACAGCACTACCCTTAGGAGGGTTAAGAATAGGAATATGGGTCCCTCCTTAGTCAAGAGGTACTTCTAGAGTCAGGATGGGAAGAAAGCTTGACTAACCATGTGGTCTTGGGCACCCGACCAGACCTCTCTGCCTGGTTTCCATGGCTTTACCTACCTCATAGGGGCTTGGTGAGCATCTAAAGCATTTAGCACAGAGCAGGGACCCTATTAATATCAGCTAGTACTATCGTTAATGAGACAGTCTCAGTTCCAGCAAGAGGTATTCTTTTTGGCAGGAGACAAATGGAAGTACTTTATGTCGTTGGTACCTGCACTGAGGGAGCTGGGTTAACTGGGAGCTCCTGGGGAGGCAGGCATTGCTCCCTCCTGCTCACTCCAGAGCAGGTCGGGTTTCCCTGTGGCTCTCTGCTCTCCAACTCCAGGGCTCAGATTTGGGGCGAGAAGGTGACAGCAAGGGGGATCCCAACTATTTTTGTTGTCACTCCAAAGCTCTCAAGGCCTGGAGGGGATTCCTGAATGCCAGAAATGCAAGCCAAGAATGGAAGTCACCCCCATTTCTTGTTTTAAAGTCATATATAGTGGCCTTGATTTTCCATAAGGGGCCATATACAGGGCCGGCCAGGGGACAAGAGATGAACTGGATACTCCCTCATTAACATTCCAGTGTTGGAGAGAAACTCAGTGGTGAGGGTGGGCCAGGGTTGGGAAGGAAACACAGAAGTGATGTGCCAGCCTCAGGTGAGGTGGGAAAACCGGTTTGGGGCCCAGAGCTGCCAGCCCTGCTCAAGCCCAGGCCCTCCCCTGTGAGGGAGGGATAGAGAGGGAGGCGCTGGCTCTGAAAGGAAAAAATGCATAGGACCAGCAAAAGGACTTGTCCTCACCTTTGTACTGGGGGGCCCCTGGAAAACACTGTACAGGGAGTTACCAACTCATCCTCTGCCTCTTGGGGGTGCAGTCTGTTCCTAGCAACTTCACCTTCCTCCTGCCACTGTGCTCAGGGTGGCCACCAGGCTTGGCGATGCTGATCTCTGAAAGGCCTAAAAGGGCTTCCCAAATAAGGCACCAAAGGGTTCCCCATATGCCCCTCCAAATGTCAATCTAGACTCCAGAAGCTGCCCCAACACTCCTTTCTTTCTGTCCTGGCCCCAATCCTGCAAAGGCCTTCAAACTGGCCTTGGTAGGCCTAGTCCCCATGTGCATATTGATTTGCCTCCAGACTGCTGGCTGCCTCCCTCATGCCAAAGCCAAGTGACCCCAAGCTTCTAACACCAAAGCAATCCAAGGTTAAGCTGCCTTGAACTCACCCCAAATAAGGCACACGGAAGTTACTTTCCGGCCCAAGCCTAGATCACATTTTACTATGAATGTGGAAGGCTCCTCCTGCCCCTCTTCCTGGTCAGGGCCACCCTTTCAACACTTGCTTCCATGTCCCACCAGAGCAAGGACCAAAGGGAGCCAGGACGAATATGTCCCCCAAGACAGACGCAAGTCCAGACCATGAAGGATGCACCTTTGGCTGTTAAAATGTTCACCCCCACAAAAGTAGAGTGGACAGATTTATTGAAATCAAACTGGGAAAGGAGCAGCTGGATGGCTGGACTCTGGGCCCAGCCCCAGGCCCCTCTGCCCAGGATGGGGCCCTGCCAAAGAGGGAGGAGAGGAATGGGGCCTGCAGCTGCCCACGAGGGAAGCGCCCATTGTCACTCCCATGGGGGGGGCCTCTTGGAAACATCCAATCTGGAAAGAAAACCAAGGGCCAAAAGTCACATAGACAGGGCCAGAGAAAGGGGCTGGGGAGGTGGAAAGCAGGCAGAGGCAGGCTTAGGGGCCTGCAGTGAGTTAAACTGTGCTTCTCAAGGCGGCCCAGGGGTGGGGGTGGGGGCTGCCAGCCTTGCAGGGGGCCTAGGCTGGACCTTCCTTTGGAGCCCTTCCCAGAATGGCTTTGGGGTCCCCCCCCATCTAAGACCTGTCGTGGATGGCAGAGGGGAGAGGCACTCTCCGGCAGGGAACCTCCAGGGCCCATCCCTGGCTGCTGCTGTGGTTAGTCCACTGAGGGCACGGTGTGGTAGCACCGGACAGCTCCCCACCCACCCCACCTGGTCCCAAGCCCAGGGCCAAATGGAGAGGAAAGAGGATTCTGAGAAAGAGGCAATAAGCAGGCAGTGAGGCTGACCTCAGCCCTGGGACCGGCCAAGACCGGGCCTGTTGCAGGGCCAGGGGAAGCATTACTAAAGGATCTGGGGCTCTGAACTCTGGCTCCATGCACAGTGGGTGCCCAGAGAGTCCTCTGCCCTGGGGTGCTGCTACCAATCTAGGTTGGGGGCACGGCTAGGTCCAGCGACTCAGCTTTGATGTCCAAGACCCCGAACTCCTGCCTGCCTGGCATGGTTCTTCCTGGTCACATGGACCAGATCATGTTCCAAGTGGAGGATGTGGCTCTGCACTCGGTCATCAATGGGGAAGGAGGTCAGGTACCTCTTGACCATGGCGAAGTAAGCCATGGCCTCCCCAAAACTGGGTACAGGCACCTCATCACCATCCTCCTCATCATCATCATCGTCTTCATCTTCATCATCCTCTTCCTCGTCGTCCTCTTCTTCCTCACTGTCCGACTCAGAGTCCTCCCCACCTTCCAGGAAATGCAGAGTAGGGCACTGGGCCTCCTCCTGGGCACCATAACCCCCGAAGCTGCCACCGGCCTCCACTACTCCCTGGGCCCAGTCCTCAGCTTCCAAGCCCTCGGAGGAGCTCTCTTCCTCTTCCTCCTCCTCTTCATCACTGTCCTCAACATCACCCTCCTCCTCCACCTCCTCTTCCTCCCCCAATTCTTCTCCTTCTCCTCCTTCCTCCTCCTCCTCCTCTCCTTCCTCTTCTTCTTCCTCTCCTTCACCCTCCTCTTCCTCTTCTTCTTCCTCCTCCTCTTCCTCTTCCTCCCCCTCACTCTTGAGGGAAGTGGTAATGGTGGCATTAGGGCCACCTCCAAAGCCAGCCTCGCGAAAGCAGGCGGCTATGTCCGAAGGCTCCACTGCCTGCCAGGCGGCAGCTACAAAGTGCAAGGCCTCCGTGAGACCCAGCTGCAGGCCTGAGCGATCCTGGCCCTCTAGCGCGGCCATGGCCTTGAGCAGCATGGCCTGGCGGTAGTGGCCCTTCACCTGCTGGACCACTCCCCTCTCCAGCGGATGCACGGTGCCCGGAGGGAAGAAGGCCAGCTGCACGTGCCGCAGGCCCGAGGTGTCCAAAGACTGGGCAGCCAAGCGGCCGGCCAGCAGTAGGACCCGGCGAGACTCTGCAGCCATTCGGGTGTCCAGGGCCTTCAAGTACTTGGCCAGGGCCTGGGTGGTGACACCACCCTTGGAGTTGGCGGTGTAGTCGCAGGGCAGGCCGGCTTGGCCTGCGCGGGGCTTGGCCGACTTGCCTGCCACCAGCGGGGGCAGCTTTTCGCTGCCGTCGGCGTTGGCGCACAGCAGCACGCTCAGGCGCTGGGTGGCTTGACGCGGCCGTCCGTCTCCTCCGAACAGCCCCGAGGCCTGGTCGGGCAGGAAGTCGTACCACAGACTGGTCTCTGTGGCGCTGAACACGTCCTGCGAGGCGTAGCCCTCGGCCACCGACGGCGGCTGCTCCTCCCGAGCGCGCCAGCCAGTCGTGCTCCCGCCGCTGCCCTCCGAGGGCACGGCGGCCGGGCTGGCAGGCGCCGCCGGGGTGCGGGGGGCAGCATTTCTCGCGCGGGCTCGGGCCACGCCGCTGCAGGACACCACGCCGTGGCGCCGGCGGAAGCGGTCCAGCCAGCCGTTGGAGGCGGTGAAGTCGTCCATGCCCAGCTCCTCGGCTATGCGCAGCGCCTTCTCCTTGAGGATGATGCCCTTGACCGGCAGGCCGGCAGCGCGGATCTGCTGGAACCAGGCGATGAGCAAGCCCTCGAGCTTGTCGTAGGGGGACAGCTTGTTGGTCTTGCGGCAGGTGGAGGCCACCCCGTACTTGCGCTCCGACGCCAGGATGGCGCGCTTGTTCTTCAGGATCGTGCTCAACGTGGACGGCGGGATGTTGAAGCGCCGCGCGATCTCGCCCTTGCGCAGGTCCGGATTCTCCTCCACCTCCTGGATGATCCGCGACTTCTCCCGGAACGTCAGCTGTCGCCGCTTGGGGCCCATCCCGGCGCGCCCCCCGCCCCGGGGCCCGCCGCCGCCCCGGGGCGGGGGGCCCGGGCCCGTGGCGGGGGGCACCTGGCGGCCTCTCCCGCGTGCCCCGCCCGAAACAAAGCGGCTCGCGGGCGCGGCGGCGGGGCGACGACCCGGCCGGGCCGGGGGCACCTCCGGGGGCGCCGGCGGGCGCGGCGCCGGGCGGCGGGCGGCAGGCGGCAGACGCAGGCGACGGCGAGCGGCGCGGGCGCGGAAGGCAGGAAGTGCCGCGGCGCGGGGAGCTGGGAGCGAGGCGAGCGGGGCGGAGCGGGCAGAGCGGGATCTCGCGGGAAGCGCGGGGACGCCCGGCGCCGCCTCCCCTCTCTCCGCGCCCACACGCTTCCCGCCGCCGGGACCTGCCATTGGGGGGCGCTGCGGCCTGCGGGACCGGCCAGTGTTGCGGCCTCCGGCGACCCGGCAGCGATGCGGGCGGGGACGCGGTGCGTCGCCACTGCGCCCGGCGGATAGCAACTTGCGGCTCTAAAAGAATAACCACCAGAGTTTTTATGTTTTTGTTTTTGTTTTTTAAGGTAAAAATAACCCACCTTTTTTTTCTTTCGGAAACTGAAAA